ATTTTGTAGAAAAATGATCAGCGGAAGACAGTCCAATCGCTGCATTACTGAAGCTATAGCTGCATTGTGACAATAAAAGATAATTTTGTACCATGCTCAGACCTTCAATCGTGAGAATATCAAACAAATATTCACCAAAATGGAGGAGTCTAGCGGTAGATATTTATTGAGCCGCGAGGCGGTGAGATAGATATCCTTCGCTGGCCACCTCGCTGGTCGAGGGTTCGAGCCCCGGCCGGACCTACACTCAAGGTCTTAAAATAATTGAGAAGAATATGCTACCTCTCAATAACATCAAGACATGCGGGTTAGATATTTTAGTCTTCTCGGAAAGGGACGAATAAATGGAGGTCCCGTCTCCTGCAGGGTTAGGGGGTAGGAGACGTTAATTTCCCACGCACGAGATTACTGTGTGATGGATATCCTCCCCTGGGGTGGGATGGGTGGGTTGTTGTCTTCCATTCATGCATGAGCCTCTGGCTTGAGCAATATGGGTAACCATGCCCCACGTTAAGACATGAAACTGTGATTACTATTACTATTACCTCATCTCCCTAATTCTCGGCATAATTCTCAACGCCTAAACCAAAGATGGTACAGCAGTTGAAATAAGATCGTTTTTCCCTTCCTCAGCCTATAACTGCACAGTTCCTCCAGCCATACGCCAGTTCAAATGATAATTGTTCCGCGCACAAGACTTGTCTGGCCTGCATGGCAGATGCATCATGTGGATGGTGTGTGACAGCTTGCCTGTCACGCAGAGCCCCCTCTGGTTTATGTCAGGACGGTGTTGGAAATCTAAGAAATATTACGTTAAATGTGACTGAGTGCACCTTGTGTTCTGACCACGTGGACTGTCAATCTTGTGTGCAGGTATGTATGCAAAAACCAATGTTGTTGCATGTTACGTTTTGTTTTGTTTGAAACTGCCTGTGCAAATTTTGAGTCTTTCCCTTTGTTTTAAATGGCTCTGACGATCACTTTGATTCGGTTTTGGGTCGTTCAATTCAAATGTGTTCTATGATATTTTAAGAGGTATCAGCTACAGCTTAATCGAGAAAACATGAACATGAAAGAAGGCAAGAGAACAGGTTTCTTTGCAATGTGCTGGAGACACTCTTTATCACAAGCTGTTAATCACAGCTGACCAAAATGATTTACACGGTGACACACTTCCAGTCGTCCTCGTAGCTTGAAGGAGACTTTGCAGTATGCAATCCACACAGAAAGTGGCTACATTATGCGACAAGCAATAGGCCATTTTACAGTTGTGTGCTTTGTTGCCAAGCCTTTGATTTGGAGTGAGGCTGAAGGTGACCTTGTTGGGATGGAGACCAGTATCTAGTTAGCATGATAACAAAGTGATTTACATTTGAAAAGCAGGAACTTTTGAATCATAACGAGGTCACCCTTAGCCTCACTCCTGTTCAAAGGCTTGGCAACCCAGCACACAACTGTAAAATGGACTATTAAACTCAACCTTACTACAACAAGGTTATCAAATTTATTTTAGGCACTGCAACAATAATAAAGAATTAGTCCATGCTTGGCGTTCGTATATCGAGTTTTGAATGCTCGCGGGAAGTTTGGAGAGCACGAGAGAAGCGTAAGAGTTGTTAGAGTCGAAGCCGAGAACATTGCTAGTTTCTTGCGTGACTTTGTTGTAGTAAGGTTGAGTTTAATTGATAGTCCTTGGCAGTGCGGAGAACAGAATGGAGAATATACATACTGATGTGAAGGTGAAAAGGTTAAATATAATGTGGGTTCATTTGAAAAGGTTGGAGTTTAGAGACTTGACTGTGCGATTTGTCTTTTTTAGGATGGTGGTTGTAAGTGGGCCAAAATATCAAATACTCTTGGTTGTTATCGCAAAGGAATTACTGATTCAGGAAACGCTATTCAGGAGTGCAATAGCCCTTGTCCAAGGTACTTAAGACAAGATTTGTGATGTGCCACATTCGTTTTAACCTTTGACCCCAATGAGTGACCAGCATCTAATTTCTCCTTACAATATCACCCCTGAATCACACACTAAGGTCAGGAGAATATAGGAAATGATCACCAACTGAAGAAGCTCTTGATTGTTAAACAAATTCTCCTTGTCAGCACCTTAGGAAATGTGTAGAGAACAGTGTGGAGAGAATGAATTCTGACGTTAGAGTGTAAAGTGTCAAATGTGATGGGTGGGGAAGTTAAAGTCGGCATTTGAGCCAAGTGGACGGTCAACGCTGATTAGATCAGTGGAAGGAAAAATCAACAGGGTGGGTGGGATGGGCGAATGCTTCACACAATAGATTATGGGTAATCCCTAAATTGTTGGGGAAGTCCATCGTACAAGTCAAAAAAATTAACAAAAATCAGTGAAAAAATTGGTGTCAGCACGCGGCACGGAACTCTGGAGGTGAGGCGCACAGTCTTTTACTTTCGCAACAGATTTCGCCAAAAAGAAGGAGCTTCTCGTAGTTTATTGACACAATCATTTCAAATCATGCAGGACTGAAGATCAACAGTTACAAAGAGTGCTTTGAACACCAACATCCAACCCAAATGTGGTCAAATTATATTAAAATGATATTACATGCGAGTTGTTTGCACTTGCGAAAAAGACTACTGACCAAGAATGTCCGCTCAGCTCCTGCTGGTTAACTTTCATTTCACCAGAGTTTTTTGCTTAAAAAAAAAATATTTCTTCTCTTTTCCAAATGTCACTTCAGTTTAACCTTGACGGTGATGAACGATGAGAATTCTCTCTGAAAAATAGCAAAATCTGCTCTGTTAGATAGGCTTTAAGTCAAGTGTTTTTTTTTTTCTTTTCTTTTTTTTTAACAGTCGCAAAACCTGTAGTAGTTGTGTAAGTGACGATGTTGGATGTGCCTGGTGCGACAAAACCCAGAGTTGCTTTGTGTTTGGAACGTACACATCACGATATCCATTTGGACAGTGCGCTCACTGGATTGATAGGTCAGCGTCACCTTTTGACTCTAAGAGTGTGTAAACCACAAGACTGAATTGATCGACTTTATTCAACGAATACTTAATCAGAAACTTCTAACAGTGACAGAATAAAACGGGGCGGCCACGCTTAGTAAAACAACACAACGAGTACATAGTGAGTACGAGTTTCGACATGGCGGCTCTCTCATGCACTCGAGCGCATGTTTTTTTAACTGTCTCTGCGCATGTGCTGAACGCACACCGCAGGTTAATAATATTGCGGTCTAGACTACTAGTCACCAGATTCCACAAAGAGTGACCAGCATCTAATTTATTCGGACAGTAACACCCCTGAATCAAATATTAAGGCTACAAGAATAAAGGAAATGTTCACCAACTAAAGAAGCCCTTGATTGTTAAACAATTTCTCCTTGTCAGCACCTAAGGAAATGTACAGAGAACAGAATGGCAAATACGCACATTGTTGTTAATATGAAAAGGGTCAAAGTAGCTGTCTTATAACATTTGGCAAACCCTGCCATGAAGAATAGGATGCTGGATTGAGCAAATGACCTTCAGGGTGTGTTGTCCAAAAAACATACATTATTAGTGTGGGATCCAGGAGGGAGGGGTTTGGGGTTGGGACTCTCCCCGATCAGACCTGTTTGTTTTCTTTAAAGTTTGTCTTGGACCAGTGACCGCGTAGAACTTCTATACTTGAAGTTTGTGAAATGTTCCTATCTTGATATATCTTCTTCTTCTTCCTCTCCAAATAAAAGTCTTTTTTTCGTTTTCTATCTATGCTTCTAGCGGAGGACAGTGCTCTAACTGCAGTCAGTACGCAGCATGCAATGACTGTTTGAAGGACATAAGATGTGGTTGGTGTGGCAATGATTTTGATCCACGTATTGGAAGGTAAATGGTTGGTGGGAATATTTTTCTTCAGACCTCATTATTTCCAAAACAACAAGTTACTTCAGATTTATCGTCAAGCGCACTTGTCGATGGAGTACTGTAAAACCAAAACGAAAGCAATCACAACAGCCAATCAGCAAGGAAAATATCACCAGGAGCCAATCAGAACTCGAAGTAAAAACAAAAACTGCTCGAACCGCGGGAAAACGCGAGTGACCAAGTCGCGATTGGTGTCAGGTTTGAATCCGATTGGTTGAGAATGAAGAGCGAGTTTTCTGGACCAATCTCTTAACGAATTTACGCAAAACAAAGCAATCCGGGATCACTTTGACACACAATCAAGAATTGTTCTATCGCATTATCTTTTGATTATTTGTTTATTATCAAGACTTCTGCTGAAGAACTGGGACATCAAGTGAATCATTAATGAAAATGTGCTCATCTTTTTATCGTTATTATTTTTAAATGATGTATTTGTTACAATGCA